TGTTGACCAGATAAGAGGAAATACAGTACTGATTAATGTATGACTACAATTGGTCAAGTTGCCTTGGCCCTAGGATCATAGGGAACTATCTGGGCTTATTCCTGCTGACCACTGCAGAGCTAGGACAGGGCTTTCCTGCAGCATTCTGTGATTAGGGCCTAAGGGATCTGGAATTTCTAACACCTCTCTTCTAAATATTAATAAAATTTATTTTAAAAACACAAGAAAAGTCTGGTTTCCCTGGTTGTTGGTCACTGTACCCCAATCTGTCTTTGAAGTGCTTTGCTTAGCTTAATAAGTAAACTACTGATGTGCCAAATAAGCTTGTATATTCTGGGGCTTTTCCTACACTTAAATCTGTTTATATATAACATGTGTATAATTACACACATGTAGTATACACATAAATACACTATAGTTTAGGATCTCCATATGAGGAAAACCATGCAATTTCTGTCTAAGTTTGGGTCACTTCAATTAATATTATACTTTCCAGGTCCATTCATTTTCGTGATTCCATTCTTTATAGTTGAATATAATTCCATTCTGTATTTGTACCGCATTTCCTATTTTGGGTGACCCAAGCTCAGAGGGTCCCATTCTGAAGTCTAGATGCCCAGGTCAAGGAAGTTAGGAGCTTCTTAGAGTTCCATGGAGGATTTTCTCATCCATGCTCTGGGATACTGTAATTCCTTCAGACTCAATACCCTCAGGTAAAATGACCTAGAGTTTGAATACAAGATACACACATCATCATTTTTATTTTAAATCACATCTAGATTTTCATTATTCATCTGTTTGTTGATGAACATCTAGTCTGCTTCAATTTCCTTGCTTTACTGACTAAAGAAGCAATGTGAAAATGTGGTACATGTATGATAGAATTTTATTCAACTGTAACGAAAATGAAATGACAAAAATTTCAGGAAAATGGATGGATCTGAAAAGTATGATATCAATTGAGGTGACCCAAATTTAGCCAGAAACCACATGTTCTTGCTTGTATGGAGACTCTAGATTATAGTGTGTTTATGTATACACTATATGTTCATGCGTGATATGTATACATTATTTATAAACACAGTTAAATGTAGAAAAACTCTAAAATATACAAAGGAAACAAAAAGGGGTTAATAAAAGACGATGAAGAAATATACACAGGACGTGAAAGAGGACAGTAAACGGGGAAGCTATAAGGCTATTAGGGTGAGCAGTGAGGTGGGGAGTTGAGGGGAAGGAGAATCTGTAAACCAGACTTTGTTTGAAAATGACATAATATCTATTATCTTGTATGCTAATTTTAAAAACTAAAAATAATAAATATCTAGATGACTTATAATCATCAACACAATGTAAATGCAGTAGAAATGTTCATTATAAATCGCACTGGTTATCTATAATGATTTGGAAAGAACTCTGTCCATGTTCAATAGACAGACAATTTTCTCTGCAATAGATTCGGTCAGAGGTTGGTGTGGTTTGCAACACAGAAGTTCATGGTGACCAGTGGCCTCATTAATTTGTGAGGACCTTCTACTGGACAGTCACATTGGCGTTTATGAGTCACCACACAAGGGCTAGGTCTCTTCACCTTTGTACAGAAGTGTTATGGAGAAGATGGGGTGAAGGTGATGGTTTGGTGAGGCGAGGCCTGAGTATTTTTGGTTAACAGACTTCTAGAGAAGAGGTCAGGAACAGAAACTGCTCAGTAAATGGAAGGGAAGCAGGAAGGAGGAAGGGAGAAACCAAGAGACTGAGGGGCAGAACGAGAGGGGGGGAGAGGGAAAGCTTGAAATCCAGCCAGAGAAAGAAGTTCTACATCATAATAGTAGGTACAGGTCCTGAGATCTAGGGAGGCCACTTGTGTGACCCACAGATCACCAAAAGAACTTTTCCATGCAACCTACAGTAAGTAAATGCCCGTTTGCACAAGACTGGGCATTCTTAAGCCCTCATCACCATTTCCCTCTGGCAATTTCCTTGTGGCCTGGGACACTTTAATTCAATGGCTCCAAAATTCACATCTCACTCCCTACCACCACAAAGGAAAAAAAAATCCTCTTGTCTGGCTCCTAAATTCTAACGGGGATGAACCACACTCTGCAGAATGTTTAGACCTGGTATACAGGATGTGGTGTGAAGTCAGTAGATATTCCTCAATAGAAACTCCTGATACTTTATGCTCTCACTTTTTACAGGGTGACCTTTCTTCTAGAAAAGCTATTAGGAAGGCTACTGCAGAGAAAAAAGGGCGAGAGGTGGGCATGGAATCATGAATGCAATTACACTTAGTCTGTGATGACAAGGTCAAGGCAGTGCAGAGTGGCTGGTGTAGCGCAGCTCCAGCACAGTGGACTGTTTGAAGATTAGGAAAGCGGGACTCAGCATTAGAGGGACTTTTCAAGGAAATTGTGGGTGTTCCTCCCCTTTCTTTTGACGACCTTGTATTGAGAAAAACATGATTACTATTATTATGCGAGGACTGGGGCTAGAGACCTACTCCTTATAAAAAAAGTATTATTATTAATACTTTATGTGCATAGATTTTCTTTCTGTATGTATGTTTATATCCACATGCATGCTTGGTGTCTGAAGAAGCTAGAAGAGTGTGTTGGAAGCCCTAGAACTAGTTGTGAGCACTGTGTCGGTACTGAGACTCAAACTCAGGCCCTCTGGAAGAGATACAGTGCTCTTATCCAATGAGCTATTACTCTAGTCCTGAACCTCTTCAGGAGGCTTGTTAGGGGTACATGTTTCCAGCCTGTG